TCGTCAGGACCTCCTTGCACGAAAAAGAGAACACTGACGGACGCTTTTTGGAAACCGGATTCCCGTGGTCCCTACAACTCACCATAAACTGGCAAACGGCGAAGGCTATGACCCCAGTAAGCCATCAGCGCGTCAGAGCGAGTCGGGTGACAAATGTTCGTCCAAGCGTTTTTGTCCTACGGAGAGCGGTCACGTGTTTCGTTCCACACCTCTGATTCACTAGAAGCGGCCTTCGCACTCGCTCACAGCCACACGGACACAAAAGAAAGTGGGGAGGCTTATCAGAAGAAGAGGTCAAAGGGGGGTGGACAAAGCTGCTAATCTCCCTCTGCTGCCTCCTGGGGTGCACAGGGAGGGTCGCCTTGCATGTGGGACCTTGAAGTTGTTGTTGTTCGAGTGGCGGTTCCCTTTCGAAAAGTGTAGAGCCGGGGAGTGGCTTATGCATTCTGGGTAGAACTCGTTGATCGTAGTCTTGTTTATGCGTTTGAATTCCTTCTTTCTCTTTCCTTTTTTCTTCATGTGCTTGGAAGTGTATTTATTGGTCAGGTGAGTTTGTGCTACACAAGAAAAGGCGCCACTGTTTGTTCCAAGCTTCAGCGCAGTTAAAAAGAAAATGAATAAAAATATTAAGCAAAGCGGAATTTGCTCGCTTTTTTCCCGAGAAAGACTTCACGGGCTAAAAGCAAGCAGATTCCGTTTTGGCTAATCTTTTTTATTTTTAACGTCGTATTTTAGGCGGCAAAGAAATAGAAATACCTCTCCGGCATAGCCGATTCACGCAGGATACTCTCAACACTCAACTAAAAACGGCGTCGCGTACGTTATGTCAGGATATCGTTGGCGCGACTCATCCCATTCGTTAAATTTTGGCTAAACCAAAATGGTGTGGGCACAATCTTTTCGAATAGATCCAATATCGGCGACATACGGTGTGTTGCCTGGGCTGTATATTTACACGTCTTCGGTCACCTTTTGCGAGCGGAGGTGATTTTTTAAATCGAAGTTGAACTGGTAAAACTGATGCACGCGCGACACGTAATTTTCGGCTCCTCTCGGACGAAGAGTTCGATCGGAGTTACAAAAAACATTCTCTAGCACTTCCTAATCATACGCGCCTTTGTGTGGCGATTAATTATATTCGATGTTGGTACTGCCGTACCTCCGCAACCGTTTCATCAAAGCAATAAACATGAACGGTTATAAAATCATGGGTGTAATCGACAGTATCAACATTACGCCTGTCTCACACCGTGTGAATGAAAAGTGTGTGGACGTCCGTTAACCACTTGACCGGGGACCAAAGCATAAACCACTGCTCATCGTCATTTGCGCCGGGTGTTCGGGCAAAAACCGGTAGGAATAAATGGCCTCTCCTCTGGCGTGAAGAAAAACGGCGTCGATGACAATGATATTGACCGAACAAAGGGGAAAGCGGATTTGTGTAAGATTAATGTGACGCGCATTCTTGCACGTTCTCGTTGATGTCCTGAAGTTTTGACGGGACGCCGGACCGATGCATCGCTACATAATTCCAAGCAATTTGAGCTACGTCTTGGTATTGCACAAAGTATAAAATCCACCGCTTAAAGCGCATATTAGATAAAAATTCGAGCTTGCTGATGCAGGCGACATTTTTTTTCCGACTCACTCCATAGCTAGCTCCTCGATTTGGGGCACATACTGCTATACCGCGATGACGATCAATCGATGTCACGATGTCTTTACCGGTTCCTCTCGTAGACAAGGGTTTCTTCGACGTGATTAACTCCGACCCCTTGAAATCATATAAGTCCATCACACCCTTTCTACACGTTATGAACGGGGGGTGTTGCGACGAGTGCCTACACCCTTCTAACACGATTTCCTGAGCATATTCCAAATTGTGGGTGTGATAGGGGTGTAAGAGGGGTGTGTGTAGGGTGTAAGCCTTCTCGTACACCCCTGTTACACCCACCAATACTCGAAATCGTGTAAAAAGGGTGTAGGAAGGGTGTAGGAAGGGTGTTGGTTAAAACAAACACCCTTTTAACACGATTTTGGGTGTTAAAATATTTACTGTGCATCGTACCGGCGTGCGGTCGTGTATCACTACTGCGTGGTGCACGTTAAAAACCCCAGGCTAGCGGTTGTACTGCACTGGCTAAATTGCTCACCTACAGCTGGGAGACACTCGAGCTTCCAGTCCGGCCGTGGCTCAGCACGCGTTTTCTACTTTGCCGATCCCAGCGCGTGGCTATGTCACCAGGCTACGTGGCTGTTTGTTCTTGCTTCGAGTTGAGGGGATGAACGATGCTCATATTTCTCGAATTTATTTACCGAGTGCCATTGCGTACAAAGATAAAACGAGGCAAGTTTATTCGGTTAACATTAGGGAATGATTCTGAATAGTATTTAGCAAAAGTAAAAAAAAAAGTGAAAGCCGTTTACAACTTCCTGTAACGCCGAATCGGAGCGCAGCTCTTGAGGAGGAGGAGTGGAGGGTATATTCCTCCTCCTCCCTCGTGATCATGCCTGCTAGTCCTCCTCCCCTCCTGCTCCCCCTCCCTCTCCTTTACCCCTCCCCCGAGGTCACGTGACCCCCCGGACCATACTAGACAATGAGGGGAGGAGGAGGAGGGGGAGGAGGAGGAGGGCAGAGGTCCGGGGGGGTCACGTGACCTCGAGGGGACGGGATCACATGACTTTGGGCGGGCCGTCACGTGACCGGCGGGGGGAGGGGAGTCACCCCCCGGGGTCACGTGACCTTGGCGGGGGAGGAGGAGGAGCGGAGGAGGAGGAGGAGGAGGAGGGGCGACGCCGACGCCAACGCCGACGCCGCACAGGCTGGAAACGGGTCATGTGACCCCCTCCCCCCGAGGTCACGTGACCCGCCCGGACCACCCTATTGAAAAAACCAGCTTAAGCTGGTCCCAGCTTCAAGCTGGGTTATTGCCCCAGCATGCCCAGCTTGGCATGCTGGTCATGCTGGTTGATCTGGTCATACTGGTCATGATGGTTGATCTGGTCCCAGCTTCAAGCTGGGTTATTGCCCCAGCATGCCCAGTTTGGCATGCTGGTCATGCTGTTAAACTGGTCATGCTGGTGAACTTCCCAACCAGTTTAACCTGTTTAAATTAATACACAGAATAAAAAAGCCAAGCTCGTCAGAAAAGCCAACTCGGCATCCAATTTATTATTTTCGTACTTGCGGCAGCCTCACATGAACTCAAATGCTACACATCCTCGGCGCTGACACAGTACTAACCGACGCACAGATTCTCGGTGCAAATTGTCTACAATGTTAATAAAACCAGATTGCTTATCTCTCAACACGAAAAAAATACTAGACACAGGCCAAAAACAGGCAATAGCAGACGAAAATACTACACGGACGAGAGAAGCGAACCTGGGTCCCGCCAGCGATGGGGGCGAAGCGGCAACTTGCGTGGTCGGCAGAGGCGAGGAAATCCGTGTGGCTTGGATGGCATTGGCGATACTCCTCGGCACCGCCGTCATTCTTGGGCACACACACGTTCGAAGACACGAAGCGACGCCGCAGTCGGGACGTCTGACATCTTCCCGCACTGAACGGACTGCCGCTCGCTGTCTTCTCAAAACCCGCTTCGCTTGCACCGTCGTTCAACTAGTCTCCAAACAACGCGCACACAGCCGTCCCTTCGATCTGCCCTCTGCCCAAGCTATCCAAACGCGTCTTCGAATCTCCGTTTCTACCACTCTCTCTCTCTCTCTCTCTTTTCTCGCACACAAAGGTAGCTTGCAGCGCGCCTGACGCGCCCGGTGGTCTACCAAAAACGAGAGGACAAAGAACAGGACGTGGCCTCGTTCCAGCAGCCGACCTTGTCGCGCGCGCTCCCAGCAATGCCAGTTCGGCTATCTCTAGCCGACCTTGGCGTGCGCGCTCCCAGCATGACCAGCTTGACCACCACGATTATTATTTCGACCAGATTCACCAGCTTGTCTCCCAGCATGACCAGCTCGTCTCCCAGCTTGACCACATTGGCTCCATGGAAAACCAGTTTGACCAGTTAAGACCAGACTGGCTCCCAGCTACACCAGATTGAATCTAAAACCAGATTCGAGTGATACCATGCTGGTTTTTACTTAGACCAGACTGACCAGCTTAAATTCCAGCTTGCCCAGCTTAAACCAGCTTGATTGCCAGCTAAACCAGTTTAATTACCACATTGACCAGTTTGACCACCTTGATTACCAGCTTGACCACCTTAATTACCAGCTTGACCAGTTTGATTTTCATGCTGGTTTTTCCAATAGGGCATACTACACAATGAGGGGAGGAGGAGGAGAAGGAGGGGGAGGAGGAGGAGGGGAAGGAGGAGGAGGAAAGGAGGAGGAGAGGGAGGGGCGCGGTTACGCCGACGGCGACGCCGACGGCGACGCCGACGCCGCTCAGGCTGGAAACGGGCCCCTAAGAGCTGCGCTCTAAAAAAAAAAAAAATCGTTTCGTGGCTCTTTTAATTAAGAAATTCAACTTCTGTTTTCGTCAGTGAGAGTGAACCAGCAGAAATATTGACGCACACCGCACCCATAACAAATATCTCGATGATTTATTTTCCGAACCTACTCTTGTGCCCCACTAGAATTCTGGTATCGCGAAAGCAAGGTGTGCAGTTATCACACGTGCGGCCATGAACAGCGATGGGGTGAAAGGGCTCATCGGAGGGGCCTATCCTGCTTTTCTTAACCTGCAAAACCACTGGCGATTTTCATCGCGACCTATTTTCACGGCTTCGTCACTAAACCACCAGGCGCCGTGAATATCCGATTCGCTCGAGGAGGCCGGCGAGCGAACCTGCCACTACAGCTTTCTGTTGTATCCGATAGGTGGCGCCCATCTCGCCGTAGTCGTGGCTAGGTGGCGTAAGCTACCGCCCGATCCAAAGGGCTCAGCCGGATATATCTACCCATCCATCCATCGCTAATAATGCACGGGCTTTGGTTCTAGGACGGTGCTGGCAAAAACTCGCCGGTGGTCCTCTCACCTGTGGTACTGCGCCTGGAGGAAGCCGAACTCCTCCTTGATGCGGTCGCAGGACTCCGTGACGGTGAACTTGAACGGCTGGCCCGGCTGCGCAGGGGGTCCCTGCGCGGGTGGGGAGTCGGGACATCCATGTCAGTACGTCTCGTTCCGCAACTGCTCTCACTAACGAAGTGTGTCGGCTTTTAACACTGGCACTCGTGCAGGCCCTCAACGCTGAACCCAAGCCGTGGCTCCTGCAGCCGTCCCCCGACGCTATAAAGGTTTGGAGAACGGCAACGTAGAACCCGAGCCGTCCTTCCCATTTTCCGGACAGGGATACGCCAAACATGAAAAGTCTGCCTGGCGGTATTTCCTCCCAAAAAAGTTTGAAAACGACTGGTGGATACTGCAACATCAAGTGTTATTTGATAATAATAACAAAAATACTGAAGCGTTTGGCGTCTTCAACATTTCCAGCGCACCTGGCGGTTACCGTGTTACTAGGTGTACGAACTCGCAGCGAAATCGTCTCATCGGAAAAGAGTCAAAATAACAGCCAACATTTTTTTTTTTAAACATGACTAAATTTTTGTTGCCCTCCAAAAAAAAAAAAAAAAAAATCCTAAATCTTTAAAGGGCAACTCCGGTCGAAAACGAAAGAAACTAAATAACTGATATCGCTTCAGTGGCACGAAGCATAAATCACAGCCGAAATATTACGTCAAAGCGAAGCCGCGTACTTTGAACTAATTTTTAAAGATGCGATCAGCTGTTCTTTAGCGGGTGGCGAGAGGTTTAGTCGAGGAGCACTGGGTGACGCGTACCCGCAGCACCCCGTGACGTCACGTCGCAGTAGAGCTGCGGTTGCTGCCGCACGCTGTTACGCAACACCACAGTGACGTCACGGCGCGGCCGTAAAGCCGATGATCACACTGCCCGAGCTGAAAACAGACCTAATCCTGGAAGCATTCAGTATACAGCAACTCATGTTTACAAACAAACTGGAGCGCCCCTAGCGGACGCCACCGGCGCCGCGCATGCGCGATGGGGGTGCGTGCAAGAAGCTCGCCGTCGCCCATAAACAAACCACTAGAATGCGATGTTGTCGGCGTCGGTGTGAGTCCCTCTGCCCTTTTTCGCGTTCGAATGGGTGATTCTACGTCCTCCTGGCAATGTCTGACTACTTGAGCGGCCTCAGCGAATTTAACGAGGCTTGTTACACCGCAAAACTTCGCGCGAATAATGTGACATGCGGCGATTCATTCCGCGTGGACGCCGCAGTATGTACCCTAAAACTTGATTCACATGATGAAATTTCGCTCGCAATGTTCGGTTCCGACGTCACTCAGGCTGCAAAAGCGTGAACCGTAGCTGAGATGACCGACGTCGATACTGAAAATCTGAAGCAGAATCGGACCAAGTGAATCAGGCATAACAAGGCGGTGATGGTCACTGGTAAAAATGATCAACATACCCTTGTATGTACTGTTTACATGCAGCCCGCTTACCGACCTTCAAACTTAAAGTCTTTTGAGGCCTGCACTTACTTCTTGTCGCAAGTACCGGGCCCACGTTCGGTCTACGGGCCGGTGTCGTCTAAAAGAGCAGACGACAGTTCGAACGATCAGGCGGCCGTTTGAACTTGAAGACGCACTGAACGTAGTCCGCAGGTGGTACGCACAACTTGACGGTTTTTCGGCGTTCATGTTGGAACAAAACAAATAAACCTGACGACCACAAGTACCGTGGTCCGACGGCGTCTGGTTTTCCCTTTTCACGGCACATATCCACGTTCTCGGACGAACCGAGCACATGAAAACTGACCTTCAAACCTTTCTCGACCCTTTTGGTACAGCCCCAGTCGTGGCATTTTGACGAGAAGGCAGATTTTTGTCTGGTTGCGTTCAAAACAACGCAGAAATACACGTCTCACATGGGGCCTTCCGCCTACAGTCCCAGACCGGAAGTGCGCCCGACGCGCCACCACCGCGCCGTGACGTAACAGAGAAGCAGTCATAGCTTCTTGGCGGAATGTCCCTGCCTGGACAATGCAGCGGAAGACTCGTTAGACCAGTCAGACGTCTATCTTCCGCCAGGGGTTCACGCTCTCGCCCCTAACCACGCCCAAAAAGCGGAGTCAGGTGATGAAAGGGTACGGCGAGCGCGTAGCTCCCACCGCACTGTCAGCTGAAGCGCGGTCCAAACCAAGCCGCAAAAGGGGCCCGAAAAAATAAAGCAAACGGAACTTTTCTTTTAATATATATAACTACTTTCTGTTTACCCTTTTATTTGTGTATTTTAACCCTAACGGCCCTTTCGGGCATTACATCAGGGGAACGTCATACAAAGATTCGTACAACTGCACCAAGTACAACTGAGCCCAGAAGCGTGCGGCAGTGTATGGACGAGGAAGGGCAGCTCGCCGGGACGTCGGAGACGGAAAGGTTCAGAGTGAAAGGAAAAAACGCGCATGATGGGCGGGAGAGGGAGACAAGGCACCCTTTGTGGCATTTATGACTGGCTTCCAGGGGGAGAATGCAACCAAAGCAACTGCTTCCTAATCCTCCCTTTGTCCTTGTGTTGGGTTCCCAAAAAGAGTGTAGCGCCTCCCCCTCCCCTCCCCCCTCCCCCCTACCCCCGCCCCGCTCAAGGTTTGCAAGGAGGGTACCCCGCCTTGCTCTGCTTGGCCGAGAGCGCTCTCCTGCGCTTTGCGGGTCTCTCGGGGAGTTTTCGTAGATCGTTTTCGCCGTCCCGCAAGGCCCTCCGCAATCCACTACGATAGCGGGAACTCCACAGTCAAGGCTATCGGCGCGCAGGCGCAGTAGCGACTTCTTCGTTGCGGAACGCTTAGCGGAGGGGGTAGCGCGGTCTACGAAAACTCCCTATTTTCAACTTCAGACCGCAAAACGTCAGTTCACGTGACCGCTCACGGAGGCGAGGGTTTTTAACGCTCTCCGATGCTAGGAAAACCCTCGCCCCCCCAAGGTCATTCCGGCAGTCCGCACGTCGGATCGGACGGTTTCGTCGTACATGTGTTTCAGGGATGAACAGAGCATGGTTACCGGAAAGGTCGACATCGCACGACGAACGATGAACGAGGACGACGCTAAATAAATAATGCATGGCTCTAAAAATAGACAAACACACGTGCTTGTTCTCACGAGTTTCATTGAAAGGATAAGCACCGGACGAGCGGGCCATCGGAATTAAATTTTTCGCGAGGTGACCATTTGGTAAATTTCCTTCGAGTGAAGGTATTTTGTTTGCTTTCAACCACGGAGCCTTCCTAAACCGCGCTTTCAACGAATCATGCAGAAAAAAAAAAAAAAAAAAAAGGAAGAGATGCATAAAGAAAACTACACTACAGGAACAAACATATCAAATATACCTTTGGCGGCCGTTCACGCTTAGCAAGATACCCGCATCGGCGCTTCGATACACCTAAATACAAAAAAAAAAGTATATACATATATAAATTTACCTGAAGGTGAAAGGTCCGCAAAAATGCACTCCTTTCTTTGGGGGAATTCGGATCAAGTGTGAAGAAGGAAAGAACACTTTTTAGTAACACGCGCGCTTCTGGCGCATAATATCCCATATTAGCGAGAGCGGCGGTTACAGCCGTGAATTTGTACGCGACAACCACCGCCGCCGCGAGAGTGGCCGGTTCGACGCGCACGGCTAGGCACGTCAACTGAGCTCCTTTAATCACAATCATCATCGCCTCGACTCTTCGGAACCGACGCACCGAAGGCGACGATTGCCTGTTCGCGCCATGACGATGACGGGGCAGCCTACAAAGCGCCCAACCCATTCATTACAGCGGAACGCGTCGAAATCACATAAAACAAAGTGGCTACAGTGCTGCTGCGACTGTTGTGTTTCCCGGCTCATAACGCCGGCGGGTTGCCCTCGAAATAACGGGTCTAGTTTCTCAAATGGACAGCCCTTCTTTTCCCACACCCTTACCACGACTGGTCGACATCTGCGCATACGTGTATCAAATCTTAGCAGTCGTTATTTATTTATTTATTACATTCGTGCGGAGGGTGTGTTTCGCGTAGTTGAAAGCGTAGCACGAACGGTCAAATTCTCCAGTTTTTTTTTTTTTTTTTTTTCCGGCGAAAGTGAGATATAGTTGGTTCGCTTCTCCACCCAAAACCGCCGAGTGAGAAAAACGCTACAATGTTCGACAAAAGCCGCAAAACGTAACGTAAACTTCGTTGCAGTAGTAGGAAACATGGGGAAAAAGCGTGCTGGAAAGTAGGGTTAACTTGTAGCGAACCTTTCGCGAACCTGAGTTTCGACTGGGTCGACGAACCTTCGACCTTTAGCAAAATCGACGAAGTTCGAGTACGAAGATCGTGGCCCGACTGCTACGCAACAATTTCAAATTTTGGAGAAAAATATAATATAAAGTGGGCTACCGTTCTAGTTATAAAACAATTACCAACCTTTAATAACATTAAAAAATAATTAAAAAAAAAAAGCTGTAGCTCTCATACTTTTGTCGGTTCATTAACGCGAAACCATGAAACAATATACCCAACAAATATTGCACCTTTTCCCCGCCAGGTGGAGTCAGCTCGTTTTCGATTTCGTCCCGCGCGCGCAATGGTCGAACCTTAGCGTTACTTTGGTCCCACTTTGCGATAGAAGGTCGAAAAAAGTCGAACCTGGTCGAACCCGAAACCTCGTCAGGTTCTGAACATATCCCCACTGGTCACTGTAAGCAGGGGAGTAGACAGGGTCCCTCCAGCACACACCTCCTGGATAACCAAGTCCCGAATTCTCAGCATCACCCTTTTATAAAAAGAAGGCCAAAGCGGCGGAAGGGAGGGGAGGGGAGGGGAGGGGAGGGGGGGGGGGGGGGGGGGGGGGGGGGGGGACCTTGAGCACGAGCGTTGCGTCAGCGTTCGGTTGGGACTCGGGATTTCACTGATTGGGCACGAGTCTCGGCCCAAAACTAATCAGGAACAGAGGAAAAAGCGCAAGATCATGGCGCATCCACTGTGCGTGATCGAAGACGGCAGACGCGCAACAGACGATGAGCTCCGATGCGCTTTTGGCGCTGCCCGATTGCCTGCGTCGGTTCGTAGTCGAAAAATGCTGAGTCAC